ATATTGTGGTACTCAAGCAAGATGATGTATGAATAGATATATCTGTTCCTCTATTGACGGATATCAAGTCTTTCCTTGTGTAAATGTGCTAAAGTTTCTGTAGAGTGATTACCTAGGACACATGCTGAGTCTTAATATATGTGCATCTTAAACTTTGGAGTGATTTCACAATATTTTGTGCCTAAGGACACATTTCTCAGAACACGTCTTCATCATTAAGTGGTACATAACTGTATATGTATACGAGGTCCATTTAGTCTAAAGTATAATTCAAGTTCAATGTCTTAGTGATTTTCTGTTTGGATGATTAATCCATTGTTGAAAGTGGGATCCCACAGTAGTAGTAAAATCCACTACTATTATTGTAATCTTTCTCTCCCTTCAGATCTGGTAGTATTTACTTAATATATTTGGTTTCTCTGAAGTTTGGTGTATGTATATTTACGATTGTTATATGTTATTTGAAGAATTGACTCTTTTATAATTCTATAATGAACTTATTTGTCGTTTGGTACATTTTTTTACATAAAGTCTATTTTGTCTGATATAAGTGTAGACACCTCTGCTCTCTTTTGGTTACTGGTTTTATGGACTTTTTTTTTCTACCTTTTGACTATGAGCCAGGATTGAACCCATCAAGTCAATCCTGGCTTGATGGGTCCATTGGCTGGATTCTACATACAGTTGAGGCCATACTGTAATCAGATGGGACTTCAGGCTGTGTTCTTTGATCAGATGGGACTGTACACTATGCCTCATCATTGGGCAGGACTGCAAGCTGGGCTCTGCAATTGAGTGGACTGCTGCTGGCTTTGTGCTTCACTCTTTGACGATGTCTCTTGCTGGTCTTCCTCTTTAGGCAGGGCTACCAGCCTGTACCCAATAGTTGTGTGGGGCTGGAGTTGTGCTCCACAATTGGGCTGAGTTGCTTTCTGGGTTCACTGGTCAGGTGGATCCACAGGCTATGCTTGAAGATTAGGTGGGGTAGTTGGCTGGGTGCTCTGCCTGGGTGAGTCTAGAGATTATGCTCAGCAATTGCTTAGGGCCATAGGCTGTGCTATGCTGCTGGACAGGGCTATAGGCTGGGCTTTCATGATGGTCAGTACCATAAGCTGGGCTTTGAGGCTGCCCAGTGTCACTGTTTGGGTTTCCTGGTCAGGCAGAGCCAGTAGTCATGATCCATAGTTGGGCGAGGTCACTGGCTTTGCTCTGTGCCTCAGTTGGTCTGTAGGGTGGGCTCCAGAGTTTGCCACAGTTTTTGGTTGGCAACCTGATAAGGAAGGGACTGAAGGCTATGCTCAGCAGTAGTGCAGTGCTTCTGGCTTGGCTTCCTGCCTAGAGGGCTGTAGAATTAGCTCTGTGGCTACCGTGGGTCCCTGGCTAAGTTTCCTGGTCAGGTTGGGCTGGGGGCTGTGCCTTGCTGTTCTGTGGGGTTATTGCCTTGCTTTCCTGCCTTAACAGGCCGTAGGATGTGCTGTGCTTGGCGTCTTTGGCTAGTGACTTGCTTCCCTATTTGTTGGGCTGTAGGATGTGCCGCATGGTTGCCCTGTATCTCAGGCCAGGCTTCCTCCTCTAGTGGGATTGGAGGCTATACTCAGCAATTGCTCTAGAATGAGCTCCTTCACCAAAATAGCCCTCTGACTAGTGACCCAAACCAGGCAGAACTCCCTATCGCCTATCCAATTGGGACCACTGGCTCAGCTATGCAAATGATCAGAGCCATTGATTGGAATGTCCTCTAAGGCCTCACCACTGGCAGGAACACAGCTTGCCACGATCTGTGCACTTGTTGTGAGCCCCTTTTCCCTTCTCTATCTCAGACTTTCCCAGTAATCCCCATGAAGCATGCTTAAGTGGGTCTCCCAGGAATCTTCAGAACGCTAGGGAAGCTTAACGTTCACCTTGAGCTCTCCTTTTCCCACTGGAGAAACTGAAGGTCTAGGGGGACATGCTCCAGGCAGCACTGTGCTGGCCTGGAGGAGAAGCAATGTGGGCAAAGTGAAATTGCTCCTCTTTCCCCTCCTAATGCAGTTTTTCTCCAGCTTTATAGTTTGAGGGGTTGCTTTAGCCTTACCCCTGTGTTCTGGGATCTTTACAGAAGTATTCTGCCTGTGGATAGTTGCTAGTTGCCCTCCCCCTGAAAGGAAATCATATATTTTGCCATCTATCTGACATCAGTCTCCTGATTCAAGTTTTATTAAACTATTGTTTCATGCACTATGTCTTGATTTTCAGTTGTTTGAAGCATAATTTTAAGTATGATCTCTGTTATTGCATCTTGGCCAGAAGATGCTCTGTATATTTTTTACATAGTGTGTATGATTTAAAAAACAAACAAACAAAAAACAATGCCCTAAATATTCACATAGATACTATTCTTACAGATTTACTCTTTTCTAATTGGAGTTTGGAAAGAATGGTCCTATGTGTACTTTTTTTTTCTTTACATGGCTTTGCCATTACTTTTCTTCTTCTATTTTTTTTTTTTTTAGAGTGAGAAGAAGGGAGAGAGAGAGAGAGAAACATTGATTGGCTGCCTCCTGCATGCCCCACACTGGGGATTGAGCCCGCAATCTGGGCCTGTGCCCTGACTGGGAATCAAACCAGGACCTCTCAGTCCATGGGACAGTGTTCAATCCACTGAGCCACACCTGCCGGTTGCATTACTTTTCTTTATCTACAGTTTATCTGCAGTTGGATTAAATTATTGTATATAATAATGTAATATAAATCACTAATACATTTATGTTTTATTAGAATTAGATTATATTTATTACCTAATGGAACTCTGCTAAAAAAGATCTTATGCTATTTTTCATGCTTATTTTCTCCTAATGTCATTTTACCAATATGTGAAGAAATGAGATAAAAAGGAGAACTTAGACATATCTTTCTATTTCCTGAAATTTTATATCACTAAAGTATGTTCTGGAAAAGGGTATCCTTGTCTTAAGGCGTATTGCTGCCAAAATAAATTTCAAGAGGTAATAATTTTATTCTGTTTTCAAATTATTTATTGAACCAGTCATCTAATTAAAAAAAAGATTAAAAGCCAAGTTTCAAAAACTATATACCAGAAAACGCCTTATTTTTTAATGTATACACATCTGTGCTCATAAATTGGGTAATTGTACACCTAACAACTCAATTCATTTATCATTATTCACTTTATGTATATACAAATGAAGGCTTTTTAATTCAAGTTCTGTGACCTGGGACACTCATGATTGGGACATGGTTATTTTTCATGATTCTAGTCAATGTTAATGTATACAATTTCACAGAAAAGTATACGATACCTTATTTACTCTGGTACAGCTATAACAAGAAGTTCTTAACATGTATTCTGAAGTGGTATAGGTAATTAATAGTTAATTTGGCTTCATCTGTTATATAAAACATGTTAGAAAAGGTATAAAACATCTATATTGGAGTCTTTGCATCAAAGGACTAAGATGACATCTGAATTGAAGTACTGCCAAGTATAATTTTTAAGTTAAATTTTCTTAAAATGATTGTGATGGTTAAAATAGATAACCCAGGCATTTTGAGATTATAGTTCATCTCTAAAATGACTGAGCCCAGATACAGTAGTCCTTATGTTTATTGACAGACACTGTGCTAAGTACTATTGTAAACATTTTCTCATTTAAACAGATTTTTAAAGAAAAATGAGTCATCATTTAATCTAAACAATAATTTTGTAAACATATACATATATATGTATGTGTATACACACACACACACACACACACACACATTATGTATGTATGTATGGGTATGTATTAGTTTCCTATTGCTGCTATAACAGATACCACAGACTTTGTGGCTTAAAACAATATAAATTTATTCTCTTATATTTGGGGAGTGGGGGGCAGAAGTCTGCAATGAGTTTCACTGGGGCAAAACCAACCTTTTTAACAGGGCCACATTCTCTAGGGAAACTCTAGGGGAGAATCTGTTTTCTTGCCTTTCCTAGCTTCTAAAGGTGCATTCCTCGCATTTGTTGCTCATGACCCTTCCTCCATTTTCAAAGTTAATAGCCACAGTAACTGCGTCTCTTTTCTAGTAAAATTTTTGTCTGCCTCCCCTTTATGAGAATACCTGTGATTATAATTTTGGCTGACCTGGACAACGCAAGACTATCTCCCTACCTGGAGACCCTTAACTTAGACACACGTTTAAAGTTTCTTGTCATAAAAAGAAGCATTCCAGGATTAGGATGTAGATATCTTTTATGGCCAAAATGGAGTATAGAATACTGCCAAAAGTCACATAAAACCAAAACATGTTAGAAACCAATACAGTTGGGAAAGAAGTTTTACAGATAGATTAATAATGTAAGTAAGAGATCCTGGAGTTCCTCTGCTAGGTTCCAACATTTTGTGTTGTTGAATGATGTTTTTTATTTCTGATACAAATAGAACATTAATCTTCAGTTTTTTCCTCATATACTTCATTTTCTACTCTTTACCCTGTGAAACCAATGCTTACTAATATAAATGAGGTCATGAATTCATGAATTGGAACACAAATTTACACAGCCTGATATTATGATTAATTTAGAAATAATTTATATTTGATATTTGAACATAGACACACATTCAGATATGTGCTTTCTTATTCCCTTTAAACCTTTTGTTACCCTCTCCTTCATCTTTGTTATTCTCAGCACTAATGAAGGATTGACAAATGGCAAAGTTTTTCTAAGCAATATGATGAGAGCTTTTCGGAGTGAGTTCTAAAGGTTCCTTATGTCTTAGAAGATCACAGATCTTGAGCTAGATTATATCTTTCTGTTTTTGTTCAGTATCATTTCAATATTGGTATTTTATTGTATACCTTTGGAGAGAAAATTTCATTTGATACTTCCAATAAATTATGTGGTTCAGTGACTTCTAGAGTTACCAATAAGTATGTTTTAGCATGTAACATTAGTAAGCATGTATTGTTGCATAATTTATAAGCTAAATGTTTACATTTTCTTCCCTGAACTATAGGATACCAGAAGGCCCCATTGATCAGGGGCCAGCTTCCGGAAGGATTCGTGCTTTAGAAGAGCAACTTGTGAAGGCCAAAGAACAAATTGAAAATTATAAGAAACAAACTAGAAATGGTAGGTGATTATGCAGTATATTTTCTCTTCAAAATATTGATGTTAGCACTAATCATTGAAAATTACCTTTCATCAAAATATTGGAAATACTGATACTCAATTCTTTGACTGCAGGTCTGGGGAAGGACCATGAAATCCTAAGGAGGAGGATTGAAAATGGAGCTAAAGAGCTCTGGTTTTTCCTACAAAGTGAATTGAAAAAATTAAAGAATTTAGAAGGAAATGAACTCCAAAGACATGCAGATGAATTTCTCTCAGATTTGGGGCATCATGAAAGGTACTTTTTTTTTTACATTTCATTTGGGCTCTAATAAAGATTATAATCTGAGAATGGGAAACTGGAACATTTTGTAATTTTTCTGCTGAATGGTAAATGATACCTACCATATTTAGGAGCAGGAGTATATCTAAGATCTCAGAGAACAATAATTGCCAAATGTAGTTCATCAACTGAAAACATATCACTGGAAAATATTATTTAAAATACATTTTTAGAAATCTTCATACCCGAAGTAAACTCTGAAGGTAGTGGTGTCAGCCAACAATACATTGGAAATCTTCCTGTAAGTTTCCTTCATATACAATCAATATTTGAAGAAGCGTTTTCATATACAATCGATATCTGAAGTAGAGTCTGCAGTTTTCTGTTGTTTTTAATCCTTACCCAAGGATATTTTTTCATTTTTTTTCAGAGTGTGGGAAGGAGAAAGAGGAAGAGAGGGAGGGAGAGGGAAACATCAATGTGAGAGAGACACATTGACTGGTTGCCTCCCACACGATCCCAACCAGAGCCAGGGACAAACCACAACCAAGGTACATGCCCTTGACCGGAATTGAACCCGCAACTCATTGGTCCGCAGGCCAGTGCTCTAACCACTGAACCAAACCGGCTATGGCAAGTCTGTAGTTTTATATTACAAAGTATTAGAACTCATGCTGAGTCTGGTAATTATGTTTCTAATTCAAACATTAAAAACTTTAAAATAGCCTTTTTTTAAGGGTTTCTAATTAAAGATTAACAGGTTTTCTATAAAAGAGAGCATTCTGTTCATTGCTCTTCCATTTAGTTGCTAGAAAGAGCCTGAAATCTGCCTAATTAAATTTGTTTCTTGTGTTTGCCCATTTTTGAAAATACGTAGTTTATATTACATAGAAAAGAAAACATTCTGGTGCTGGTGTGTTCAGGCAGAACAAAATAGATCTGAGAATCATTATAAATACAGTAAAAACTATCCTTAGTCCTATAAGTCTATACTCTCAGTAGGATTGTGATGGCAATTACTATCTCATTAGTGAACAATACATGAAAAATTGTTGTATTAACACAACCTACCACTGTGAAGAGGAAAAGAATTACCGTACAACCACAGGATTCATATATATTAACTGCATCAGCAATATTGCAATGATTTTTGAAATATTGCTCTTCTATTTTATTTAATTACAAATAAAATGTATCAGTTTATTGGATTCACTTCAACATCAATAAATATACAGAAATAAGACAGTATGAATATCAAGGGGCATTGAATTATTATGCCACATGTTTGACAGACCCTTTGAAATTTTTAGCCTAGCTTACAATCAAGTAGTAGTTAGACCATTAGACATAATGATGACTGATTCTGCCCTTAATGCTTTTCTACCTTAAAGAAAATTCTAGGCATCAAGATTCTGTGAATTGGAGCTGTGTGCTTGTTTGCTTTACTTATTACAGTTTTATAGGAAAATCTAAATCTGAAGAGGATTTGAGTTGGATAGACTGTGTGGTATTTAAAGGAGAATTTTGACTGTTGACTTAAGATGGAATGTTTAAACTTTGAGTGATTTAATTAAATTTCTTGAGAATTTAATTTTTAGGCCTTTTCTAAATCAAGGTAATTATTTAAAGAATTATTTTATGCACATATTTAGTTATTATATGTAGAAATGCTATACAAATGATAAAAGTCAAGCCCTGAATAGTTGATGTAAATCAGTGTTAATTTTTTGGTAAGTTGAATTATGATTCCTGACACTACCTTTTAATATATGTTAAATAATATTTTTTCACAGAAAACAAAAATGGAAAGGTATCCAAGGTACAAAGGTCAATTTCTTTTGCTGTCTTTTGCAGAAATTATAATTAATTTGGGATGCAACTTCACTGAGTAGTAATTTAACCCCAGGTAGCCAGATTAGAATGCAGTGGGACAAATAATGAGCAAAGCACCATCAAACATTAGAGGAATAGCCTTTAATGAATGTACAAATAGAGAAGATTTATATATATGTATAGAATATGTCATCTTACTGATAATTTTCAGAGTCCTTAAGTGTAAGAATTAAGACAGACATTTATATTTGCCTCTGATGATTTTTATATTGCACAAAAATTATTATTTCAATTTTATACTTGGACAAATGATAGTGTCTAGATTGTCTCTGGACTGAAAGCCTATGTGCCCTGAGAAATCAGTCGTTGAACCTAAAAGATTCTTGTTCAAATTTTTTGGTTCAGAAAGACATCAATTATAGGGAGAAAACTTAGGGGTTTTGTTTCTTTAGAAGGGGTTTCTTTCTTTCTTAGATCTTTGTCTGATAGAAACACTGATTATCTTTTTTCCCTTTTTTGAATCAACTTTATTGCAGCATAATTTATGTATGATAAAATATACATATTTTATTCTATAGTTCTATGAGTTTTGACAAATATTCAATTTGGAACACCAGCATAGTCAAGATACAGAACATTGCTACTGCCCCAAGAAATTTCATCATGCCCCTTTGTAATCAGCACCTCCCCCACTGCTGGTCCCTGGCAGAAACCAGATCTGTTTCCTGTTCCTATAATTTTGCCTTTTCCAGAATTTTATGTAAATGCAATCATACACTATGTAGCTTTTTTGAGTGTGGTGTCTTTCACTTGGCATAATGCATTTGAGATTCAACTCATGTTTTTTGTGTATTGGCAGTGCATTCCTTTCTTTTGCTAAGTAGTATTTCTAAGTAATATGGCTAAGTGGATATATCACAGTTGGTTTATCCATTCACCACTTGAAGGGCATTTGGGTTGTATTCTATTTTTTGGTAATTATGAATAAAACCACTATAGACAATAATATACATATTTTTGTGGAAACTTTTTTTTTTTGCATTCATCTTCAAATAGAGCAGGAAGGAGAGAAGGAGGAAGAGAGAAAGAGAGAAACATCGATATGAGAGAGACACATCGATTGGCTGCCACCCACATGACCCCAACCAGGGCCAGGGACAAACTGCAACCGAGGTACGTGCCCTTAGTGAGAATCAAACCAGGGTCTCTCTGGTCTGCAGGTTAACACTTTAACTGCTGAGCCTAACCAGCCAGGGCAAAACATGTTTTTCTTTATTTAGGGTTGATATCTAGGAGTGGGATCATGGGTCCTAAGTTGAATGTTGCTTAATTTTATAAGACACTGCTGAACTGCTTTCCAAAGTGATGGTACTATTTTGCATTGTCACCAGCAATGTGTAAGAGTTCTAGTTGCTCTGTATTTTATCTGCACTTGGTAATCTCCGTTTTTACATTACCCCCAACCTCCACCACCATGCTAACGGCAGTACAGTGGTATGTCATGGTAGTTTTAATTTGTACATATGTTTTTAATCACATGCTTAATTTTGGTGGTGGTGGGGGATTGCTTGATTTATTATTGATCTTGAACCTTCCTTCCTTCCTTCCTTCCTTCCTTCCTTCCTTCCTTCCTTCCTTCCTTCCTTCCTTCCTTCCTTCCTTCCTTCCTTCCTCTCTCTCTTTCTCCCTTCCTCCCTTCCTTCCGTTTTTAGTCCTCACTGAGGACATTTTTGTATTTGTCTTCAGATAGAGTGGGAGGGAGAGATGGGGAAAGAGAGAAAGAGAAACATTGATATTAGAGAGACACCCACACGACCCCAACTGGGGCAGGGACACACTGCAACCCAGGTACGAGCCCTTAGCAGGGACCAGACCCAGAACTCTGCAGTCTGCAGGCCAACGCTCTAACGGCTGAGCCAAACCGACCAGGGCGCATTCTTCATTTATTGTAGGTAAAAATCATATTGGTACATTTTAGAAAGCTCATTTTGAGAGCCATGTGAAATAAAGCCTGGTGCCAGGAAATAAGAATTCTACAGAAGTTTTCATAAGTGATAATACGCTTCTGGACCTGGGTAGTTTACATAGAAAAAAGGAATAAACGTGTGAAAAATAGAAGCTAAAGGAGTTGGTAACAAATCTGAGGTAGGGAGATGGGGAAGTCAAAAGTAATTGAGGACTTGTATTTTGCTAGAAGGATAATTTTCATAAATGGAGATTATTGTTTCTTGTGTACTAATTTAGCTTTTCTCTGTGATGAAACGTAATTCTGATAACTAAAACTCTAACATAAACATCTCTGTACCCCACAGTGCTAAGCACTCACTATTTAGTTAGTGTTCGGTAACTATGTCTTTTTTATTAGATTAGGAGGCAGGTATGTGCATTCTTTGATGGATTATTCCACACTCTACTTTGTTCTTCTTTGTAAAAACAAAATTTTGTTCCATTGAAGGATTTATTAAAATTATACAACTAAAGAAATTATGTAATTGGGGTCAAGTATTCTCCAGTAATTGAGAATCCTAAGAGTTGTGAAGAGCAAGTTACAAGAGAAAAAATCATAAAACTTGAAGCTCTAGTTAATTTCAACAGTGGTTTCTGCAAAAGAGAGAGTATCTGTTAGAAGTTAACTAGTGTAAGAAGGAGGAAATGCAGGGGGGATCGTACTGATAGGAAGCATGGAATTAGAAGAAAACCTGACATTGAAAGATTTTTGTATTTAATACTTTTGACTTCATGTTTGATTCACTTTGGAGGACTTAGTGATCCTTGTATTTGAAAGTAGTCTTAAGACACAGTTATGTACGAATCCCTAAAAATAATAGAGTGTTTCTGATTTGGAATGTAATTCTGATGTTAAGCAATGGAGAATGGATTTTCCTTTAATTTGATATTCATGATAAAAATATTTTTACTTACTAAATATATCTAGTCATTTGTTTATATTTCATGTGACATTAACTTTAATAAGTATTAGTTCCTTCACTTTGGGATTTTCTTGCTTGAATCACATCTGTTCTGTGCTTGCCCTAGGGAATTTTTCTCTAACATTTTGAATCAGGTATAAGTAAAACACTCTTCTTGTAGTTCTTCAATGGCATAATTAAGACAGAGTAGGACATTTAAAAGAAGTTTTGTGAATATTAAAATATAAAAATAGCCCTGGCAGGTTTTGCTCA